TGATCCCCGAGAAGCGTGCACGTGGTCGATCTGGATCGGGTTTTCTCTGGTGCCTTGAGACAGCAATCGCGCTTCTTGCACGGCCGTTTCTGCATTCCGCACAATTCTCACGGTTTTTGCCAGGTCAAGGTCTTCTTGCTGGAGCAGTTTCTGCTTTAAGGTTTGGGAAGAGCAATTCCCGACAATTTGGTCTCTTATCATGTCCTCTTCCAAAGTGCCAAAGTCGCAGGATTTTACCAGCTCTCGAAGGTTCGTCAGGTACGCATCGAACAACTCGTCTGCCTTCTGTGCTCTCGACCTGAATTTGTCGCGTTCTGCTACTACGTTCTGTTTCGGGGCAAAGTACCCATTCAAAGCGGTCTTGGCTTATTCGAGGTTCTTGTGTTCGCCAGGGAGGCTGTTGAAAATGCGTTGCACTGCGGGGCCAAGGCAATGCAGCATCATGGCTCTCTGAACCGCATCGTCCTTTTCCTGTAGGTCAGATTCTATCGAGTAGATCTGAAACGCACTACTCCAGTGTTTCCACTCGCTGTACAGATCAGTCGCATCAATGTTCGATTCGGTGGGTGCGGGCAATGAGCGTTCCATTTCTCGTGGAACTTTGTCTTGTTCAACCTTTTCTAGCTCAGCTTCATCGGCCGGGTCTGGCGGAGCAGTATTCTCTACTTGTGCTGCCTGTTCTGGCTGCTCAGTTTCTTCGTCTGCGTGGTCTGCAGTTACAAGTTCATCCTCGTCGCCAAGGTGTGGTGTAGTCATGAGACAAGGAGATACTCACACATTGATTGCTTTCTACATAATGTACTTTATTAACTGGACAACTATCTTTATCGTGGTACAAATCATAATCTACTTTCACTTAGTATCAGTACTCTTACATTCGTGCTGTATTTCTTTAATATCACTTAGTACACGTAGTTTTACTGATGTTGGCAATAGTACATAATCGTTACTATGGCAATCAATACACTACAACAGACTTCTTGAATATAATCTATGTCTTTTGTTCTTCAACTGAAATTTTCTCTCAATCACATTATTCGCAATCATGTTGCGATGATCATAGCCTTAGGGGGTGGGGGGGATGGGAATTAAATGCAATAGTCCAAAACAAATCTAATCTACCTCATAAACAACTAAATGAGTTTGTTCCTGTAGCTTTTTTAAATGACTCTGGTTAACCTGGTGAAAACACAAGAAAATGAAGCGGAAACTTCAGGCACTAAACAGCTTGACTTAAAACCAATGAATCATGGTTATATATACATATGCACAAAAGACACCCCAGACAAAAATGTAAAGTGAGTAAATGATATAATAATAATTCTGCAAAAAACTGAAAACTACAGTGAGAGATAAAACTAAAGAAGAAAGAACCATTGAGCAATCAATACATGTTAAGTTGTGTACAGAAATGGTTGCTGCCCTTCAAAAAAGCTCCATGCCTTCTTGTAATAGTGATATGATAAAGAAGAGGGACTTTGAAAGTGATTTTTATAATCTGTTGGACAGTTAAGAAAATTTTCTTTTGATGACTAAGCCCATGAGTGGATCTGAAAATGAAAAGGAACACTTCTTCCAAGACAATACAATCTGTCTAACTGATTTGACCAAATATGACAAACAACACATAGTACACCAAACTGTACTAATATACACCCAACACCCACTGGCAAAATGTATACTTGCCTTTTGTACATCGTCTCAATTATATAACAATATTATTACCCTAAAATCTCCACTGGGTTTACCCAAAAACAATAAAATGAAACCTTTTATTGGTTGTTGGGATTTAATTACAGGATTTCATCTGTGTGCTCAGTACAGTATTAAAATGTCAGTGGAAAAGCTACAAGATTCAATGCTCATAAATACCTGTCTTTTAGCCTCCTCTTTCAATGCTACAGCTAAGTGAACTTTGAAAGGATTGATATGGGGTTCCACTAGCTATGAAGAGCTGAAAATACGCACAATGTAAAGTCCAATATATTCTTTGATCAACCTCCTATTGCTGTGTCTAAATTCCTCAACCTTGCTGTGCACTGGCCCTCATAAGTGTGACCGGTCGATATGATTGCCCGTAAAATTTGCTCGACAATAGAAAGGAATCTTTAAAATTCATTACACCACTGGACGCTTCATTCCAAAAAAGTACCAAAGTCTGGTTTTCTATGACAATAGGGATCTTATACAGCTATCCCCCAAAGGGGAGGTGAATATATATAGTGGTGGTTATATACGGAGACGCGAAGCATGGTATATATCTAGCGCTGTTCATCGACCCTGAGGGGGATAATAATATTGTTTTAGTATTTACCAAATCAGTTGGATAAAAATGAAAAAAACTAACTTTTTTGTAAATTAAAAATGTCTCTTAAAAGGAAGTTTGTTTACAATTTACAATCATTTTGGGGATTTTGTCAAGTGCGTTTTTACGACTTTGTTGCAAATTTAGCATGAAAATAATTTTCTCGCTACCAGTAAACACTGACAAGCTGAAGTTCGTCGCTTTCTTGGTATTTGTTTGTACGACTTCTTCATTTTTTTTTCTTCATTTATCCCTCAAATTTTATCTTTTGAAAATTTCTTGAAACGAGACACCATGTTGGCTTCGGTCACAAAACAGTGAATAGCCAAGGGTATTCTGAGTTACGGTAGCCAATCAAAATGCCCGAAAATTGCTATTCACAGATTTGGTAAATACTTATAAAAATTATCTCCAAATCTAAGAAATTGAAGCAGTATTTCTTTGACACATTGGAAATTTTTATCTGTCTCTTCAATAAACACTTTGCTCGCCATTTTGAAAGTCACTGACGCGAGACATGACGACGGTTATTTCCCCAATACTCACCTACGGAAGCGAGGTCTGGGGGGTCGATCACGACGGAAAGCTAGAAAATGATCCAATTGAGTTTGTTCAAACAAAGTTCATAAGGTGGCTATTGGGAGTTAACAAATTCTGTAGCTCAAATGCGTGCAGATCGGAGGTAGGCCGTTTCCCAGTGCGAACGAAGACAAAGTGCAGAGCCATTAAATATTGGCTGAAATTTTGTGAGCCGGAGCACCAAAATAAACTCTCTGGAATAGCATTTACAGACCAAATTGGTCAAGATAAAAAGGAACTTTGGTCAAGCAAATTAAAACGACTATTAAACCTCGCAGGTCTTGGCGACATATGGTCAGCGAAAACTAACACCCCCCGCAATCATGAACTATATACGACAGAGACTCTTAGACATAGAACAGCAAACATGGATTAGCGAAACACACAATGATGAACGAAAGGACCCGCATCAAAAAAACAAACTAAGAACTTTTAGGAAATTTAAACTTACCCATGACTACGAAAATTACCTCACAAATGTAAGAAACATCAATCATAGAGTAGCAATCACAAAGCTAAGATTAAGCAACTACAAACTAGCCATTGAAACTGGACGATACGTTAAACCCTATCAACCACCAGACCAAAGAATCTGTCCATTATGTAAAACTGGATTAGAAGACGAGGAGCATTTTTTGATGAATTGCATAGTCTATAGGGATCCTAGGAGAGAGCTGTTCAATACGCTAAAAAAGGAAACTAATCTTATTCTTGACTCTATGACTCCAAGCTCTGCCTTTACAACGTTGATAAGTATGAAGCAAGGAGAGAAAACGCAAAAAATTGTGGCTAAATACGTATATGATCGCTTCCGCGAAAGAGATAGACGCGTTAAATATAACCTTGTTTAATAGTTGTATAAATTTTACAAATGTACACCTCTGTAATTATTGCACGAAAATCTTTTTTGTCATTGTAAACACGTGTCTGTAGGCGCTCTGTTGATAATAAAGCCCTTATCCTATCCTATCCTGACGTCATACTTGCAGGAGGACTGAACCACCGATTTCCTTGTAGATGCCTCCCCCCTTGTAGTCATCTTGATCACCGATCGGTTAACACTCGGTGAACGTCTTGTATTCCGGCATTTACCCTGAGTTTTCAGACGGAAAAACCTCGAGTTCACCGCAGTTAACGAGTGAAATCCTGCCTTTTGCGGACGTTTTCCCGTGTTTTCCGAAACGGTGAATACCGCTGAATCCAGTTGTTTCGCATGTATTCCAGCATTTACCGATCGCTTACCGTTAGGAAAACTGCGCGTTATTCCGACTTTTGCAAGCAGTTTTCTTGCATTTTCTTTGATTTTCCATGACAGTGAATTCAAGTAAATTCAAGAAAACTCGCGTTTTCCAGCATTCACTGATAAGTTCAGGCATGGAAAACAGATTGTATTCCAGCGTTAGCGGTCGTTTTCT